CTCAGGCGTTGCATCACGTGCGGACATATCGTCCAAATCCGTCGCCAAATCAATGATCGACGGATAACCTGCCATGGCTAAGGGCACGTGGTACGAGCGAGAAGACTTGGTGAGACCTACGGCTGATAACCTATTTCAAATAGGAAACAGCCAACAAAGTACACCTTTTTCTTGAGCCAAACATAACGCGTACAGTAGACATGACTATGTACAAGCAGTGAAAAATACAAACCTCAGGGTCGATTGATGATCTTTGACCGCTGCGGGTGAAGATTGATCTCTTGACCTCTTGACAACAGTCCGGAGATGTTTGGGAGGTCGACTGGCATAAACGAGCAAACGCCCATCTCCTGGAAAATGCTTGAAAAACAGTGTCATGCATCACTTGCACATGTCAAGCTGAAGGCTTGAAGGCCACAGGAGACACCTTCACCATCTCCCACTCGGCCTCCTCTCTGTCTATATGGATAGAAATAGGGCGGCAGTCTTTCCAAGCCTTGGGTCAATGTGAGACAAGGCACCCTCTGTTCTCCACCGAAGTCAGGGTGACCCCAGGTCACTAAGCGGCCATCGGAGCATAAGGCAGCAAAGGCACCATTGGAGGCTTCAAGCCTCAAAGCAAAGCTGATATTCTGAAAATGTAAGCCACTGGAGTTCATGAAAACATCCGGTTCTCCGGTTGACATTTCTTGGATTGTATTGTTGAGGCTACTCACCATTCATAAAGGGGAGGCTCCTGTGTGCGAAAAAGCAAGCATGACGTGCTTTCCTTCCAGTGAACAATAAATATCAAAAGAATCCAGCATAACTGTTGCGATTGCTACGGGTTTCTCAGATCAAATCTTCACTGGAAGCTGGTGAGAGAAGCTTCAGAAAAAAAGTTAGGAAGGCAATGACAAAACACTGCTATCCTTGTTGCCAGCAGTGACAGCGACGACGTGGAGATTATGCACGTTTCTCATGTGTCCAAGTTCCGACCGTCCCTGCCGTGCCCACTGCAGGTAGACTAAGGAAGACTGCGCCGCAGCACTCCCGAGCGAGTGCACAGGGTGCTGGAACCGAACCGAACGGAACTTATATTCATAGTAACTTAGTATGCCAATATTACATACATATCATATATATTGTTAATACATTACAGTATTATTATTCCTTGCGCACATACCTCTCAAATGGTGGAGTTCATCCTTATGCAATCACCCGGGGCCCAGGAGACCACATGTTGCTTCCAGTCCCGAATCCAGCCAGTGATCCCCAACACCGAGGCTCTGTACCACCTCCAGGTCCTGAAGCTGCCCACTGTCACCTCCAAATGCCGCATTGCCCCAGGTGACCACCTGACCGGTCGTCGTCACCGCGGCGAAGGCGCTGCCAGTGGCCCGCACCTCCGTGATGTCCAGCAACCGCGCTTGGACGGAGCTGCTGTCGCCTGAGAACCAGGGCTTTTCATCTGAACCCAAGCTTTATATTTTCCCAAAACATCCCAAAACCCTGTCAGTTCATACTGCACCTAGAGGGGGGCCCCCCATGGCCCCACACACTGCCTCACATGGCTCTACATCCACTTTTACATCCGTATCCGTCGAACGGCTGGTCCCGCGCCTCCTGCGGTGGATAAGCCCCAGGTCACTACCTCGGTGAGAAAAACCTTGGAAGACTACCCAGGCCACTACCTGCGGTGGATTTGTTTGACATGTTGGTGCCCAAATTCCACAGAATCTCATGGTAGTGTTTGATGGTGTTTGTCGATCTTCACGAAGGAGTGATAGCAAATCTGTAGAATGCAGAAAGATCAAAAAGCACAACATGGCACTACAAAAATGGTCGCAGTCAGTTCGTGCTCAGAATTCTACCACCAAAAACGCAAAGCAGAAAAAAAAATCATCGACGGAGTCATTGAACACACTGACATATGACCTACATGTTGCATGCTGCTCTTCAGCTCAGCCACACGCCCCGTGGACAAAATGGCCGCAAAAGCGGAACTGGTTGCTTCCAGTTTCTGCACCTCTTTCAGTTCGTGCTGGACACGACTGCTGTCGCCACCTGTGCTAGGATCCCCCCAGGTCACCACCTGCCCATTGGCCAAAAGGGCTGCAAACGCCATCGCTGAAGCTTTTATGCTCTTGACGTTCTTCAGCTGGTCTTGAACAGAGCTGCTGTCGCCACCAAAGGAGGCATCGCCCCAGGTGGTCACACGTCCATTGGTCAAAAGGGCAGCAAATGACGTCGAATTCGAAGAAGCCTCCAGCCTTGGCGTATCTCCCAAACCAGGTCACCAAGTCACCAACTGTTCTTTCACAGAAATTCAGAAATTCCACATGCAAGCTTGCCAACTACTCCCCCAAAATATGTCCGGGCAGTACTGCTTGTCAGCAAGTAGCTCTTGCACATTTTTCAGTTGCTCTTGAACCTCGCTGCTATCACCGCCAGCTTCTTCTGCCCCCCAGGCCACCACTGCTCCATCGTCCAAGACCGCTGCAAAGGCGCTCTCGGCTGCCACTAGCTGCCGGATGCTGGGGCCCTCCAGTCTGGGTGCTGTGCCGCCCCGGCGGGGATGGCCCCAGGTCACCTGAAGTGGGTCGAGGATAAAGGCCGGGTAGGCGCTTATAGGCTGGTTAGCGGCTTATAGGCTTCCTTGATTGATCCCTACTCCCCTGGTTATTGCAATGAGATGGGTGAAAGGTGTCGAAGGCGCTCGAAAGCTGGTGAGAAGCTACAGCATCTTCGGTGAATGTCAGTGAATGTCACTCCCCCGCCAGTGGCATGTGCGCCCAAGAATGGCAAGTGCTCTGTTCCGAGCTTGAGCGGTGAAAAGGATGCTGCTCCATTGGTTGCTGCTTGAAATATCATGGAAGTGAAACATTGAGCATTCCTCAGTTGACATTCCAAAGCCTGTCTCCTACAGCCGCGACATGCCGCGACCTTCCATCATTAAAGGTCCTGTGCTGCGTGCAACCAACCACACCGTCATTGCCTACGTGGCAGGGTTTGACATGTCGCCTGCGTTGCAGTGCTATGGATCCACATACCCTCTGAGAAGGTGATTGGAAACACATTTATGTAGGCTTTGAGGGTCCAAATGCCATCTGAGAAAGTATTTGGATCCCTCTAGGAAGGATCTTCAGCTTCAGCCGGTCAACCAAAAAGCCTTCTCCCGAGATTGCCGCAAAGGATTCGTCGGTGGCATGGATCTCTCTCAAGTTGCTCAGCACCTCTCGATCCTGCAAAGATTGGAATAGCGCCGTCCCGGACATGCATGCCAACATATGCCAACAGAACCTGACGACTATATTTATGTGTGGGAGTGCAGCGGGCTGTCACCTTGAAATGAGGGCCGGGCTTGTTTCGTTAATATATGTTAATATTCACCCTGGAGAAACAGAGTTGCCACATGAGCAAGCAAAACCGAAAGCCGAGCGCAAAAACAAGAAAAACGTGACTGCCCGATGCAAACATACCTCAAAACGCATTCACTGTGCTCAACAGGTGCCAAGCTCTGGGCCAAGTATCTGGACAGCTCTCAGCTCCGGCATGGCCCCAGGCCACGGACGATCCGTCGGTCAAGCAGGCGGCAAAAGCACGGCGGAAAGGAAGGACGTGCTGAACATTGGACAGCTGATCCTGAGCCGCTCAGCTGTGTCAACTAGACTACACTCCCGAGTCACATGCCCAGATCGAACGGCACCCTCACTCCGACTGTTTCCTCTACAAACCAGTGGTTTTCAGGGTCTATGTTAGTTTTCAGTGTACTGGTATCTACCGGTCATTGGGAAACAGACCATTTATACAAAGGAAAATGGTCAAATAAGAAGGTCGGACGATGTAAATGACCAAATCAAATAGAAAGTGTCAACTGATACTGGACTGGAGGAGGGCAGCTTCTGGCAAAACTGAAATGAAAAAGGATGTGAACAACAACCGACATGAAACCGTGGGGCATTAACTCAACAGAGCCTAACAAAGCCACATAGCAATTCAATACATACTGGTACACACTCAGTGGCCCAAAAAAACACACACACATTATCTGCTGTTGAACATCTCCACCCCAGCGCTGACTGAACTTCTCAATCCAGTTATACTGTTATACAATGTTATATATACCCCCAAAAGGGTTGCATGCCGGATGGGCCGGATGTGGTTGTAGTGGAAAATGTTCTTCCATGGGTGCATTGTCAGGGTCCGTGTTAGTCTGCGGGGGTGCAGGCTCACGGGGCATGGGGGATTTCAATTTATTTCATTCATTCAGCAACTTGGCAAGATCAAACTTGAGGTGGGAGCACCGAATATATCCTCCGGCCGTCAGGACGGTCTCCAAACAGGACGGTCTCCAAACAGGAGGATGTCTGTTGAGCCCTGAGTCTTGCACTTGGGTGGAGTCTCCTCCAGCTCCAGGCATTCCCCAAGTGACCACCCCACCACCGCGGTACCACATAGCAAAGGCGCCTTGGCCACCGGCAGGGTCATCGGGGATGAGTGTGTTCGGAATCACTTAAAGCACATGAAGGTAATGCAGTCATCCAACACTATAGAGTTGAACTAAATTACTGAATATACCTGCGCAATCCAGCGCATGTGTTAAGCCACCACGGAACGCAGAAAGGTGCCGCACAAGTCCCAGTTACCCACTACCCACAAGTTCCCCGCAGAAAGGGCTTGAGCAATTCTGATCAATCTCACAATAGCTAGAGCATGCTGAAGAAATGCTTGCTCTGTTCCAAAGTTTAAAAAGTATTGAAAAAGAAAACATCTTTACCAATAACTATATAATATATAATATATTGTTGAACTAACTGATGCTTCAAAACATATCTTGCATCTTGCATCCAACCCACCTGGCGTTTGCTTATCCCATCTCACCTCCTCCATTCACCTCCCACTCGCCTTCAGTGGCGCTCAGCCTCACGGCTTCGACCACCGCCTGGACCACTGCTCCGTCCCAGAGCTGCGCGTCTTGGAGGCTGCGCGTCTCGTCAGGAGCTGCGGCCGCGGTGTCGCGATGATAGACGCGGGGTGGCGCAATCGCTGGACGTGTCATCCTATCTTACCGGTACACTCCCTGGAACTAACATGGAAGTGGAGAATGACCCTGAAAGGAAGACCATGCAATCCACTACAAACAAGGTGGTTTTCCACTTCCATCTTAGTTCCAGGGAGAGTAATATTGGAGAGCTGAAGTGGTCCGCCGGAGCATGGCTAGAGACTCAAGACATTTTGCACAATGCGTTGCAAACACAGGATAGGTTGAGTGTTTGGCGCGGTTTGGTACTAAAAATGCAACGAATGCCAAGGGTAGTGTTAATTACAAGTCCGGGTCTTTATTTTGATCCGTGGGCGGCTTGCATGCACTCCGATAGTAGAAGGTGAGAGTCAGAGTGCTCAACAGAGGTTGCCCCACTTCAGTTCCATGAGCAGCAGTGCGTCCACCAGCATGTGCGACAACCTGGCAGTTCTTGGCCTTCCACAGATCCATCCTGGAATTCAATTGTGAATTTGCTGAATCAAGTTTAACTTAATCAAGCAGTTGCTTTTGATTTTTTTGGGACATTGCCTTCTTGGTTTGCTTATGTTGCTTAGGTCCCCATTTCCCGCATTCCGGGCGCCAAAAATCCCACAGGGCCCCCCGTTCGGATTTCCTGTGGCGAAGGACATGACGTAGTCTCCCTAGAACTAACATGGAAGTGGAAAACCACCTTGTTTGGTCTGTGGATTGCATGGTCTTTCAGGGTCATTCTCCACTTCCATGTTAGTTCCAGGGAGTGTATGTCATATCAGCTCTCCCTGTCATCATGTGGGCGCCATATCACTCTCACCCCTCCGCGGTCGGTACGGCGTTCGCTCAGCGACCCGGACGGAAACGTCGATGGGACGTCGTGTTGCTTGATGGCCATGGGCCCTGAAGACAAGGATGACCCTGTTCCGATATGGCGCCAGGTGTATGGCGCCATGTGTCTGGTACCCGGTTTCGGAGTGAAGGAGTTCCAGGGAGTGAAATTCCGGAGTCCATCCTCCATGGCTCCAGCCTCCATCCTCCTCCATGTTCAAACCTCCAAATCCACCCAAAATCACGGCTAAGATCATGAGGACCTCATCTACCACCTCCGATGATGGGAATCGTCGTGTAGATTTTATCCAGGACACTTTCCACCAGTCGAAGGCCATGCGGCACGCCCAGCAGCTGCTTGGACTCGATTCGGAGTTGCGCGAGGCCTGACCCGGCAAACGATCGATAGATCGGGTGCAATTACCACCTTCTTGAGGGCATCCTAAGGAGTTGGATATCCAGTATCTGCTGTTTTTTGTTTTGGGATGGATCCAATGTGATCCCCAAATAGATCGAAGTTAAGTAGATCCCCACGTAGAAGATCTATGTTTCAAACCTTGCCACGGTCATCTATTTCGGAATGACTTTGTTCAGTCAAACATGTGAAGGCTGTTCAGTGGTGGACAATTAGATACACTCCCTGGGAACATTAACATGGAACCTGGTTAAACCACTGGGGTTGTAGAGGACAGTTAGTCTCCCAAAGTTCCTGGGCCATCAGGTTCCATGTGGGTCCCTTCTCGGGTGTAATCGTAACTAAGTCGAATTTGTTGCTGAGGACCAGCATTCAACAAACCGACATGCGGGGCCTGCATGAGAGACCTCTTCAACAAAACAAGTCAGGGGATGCCAAGAAGAACTCGAAGAAATGCACACATTTGGAAAATGCAAACATTTGGAGACCATAGACCGTTGTTTTCGAGCCCACTGAATGCCCTAAACATCCCTGCACTCTATGAGGTCCAAGTGCACAAAGAGGTCTTGGTGGCTCTTATAAAATATTAAATGCCGCTGAAGCCGTATTTTGCTTCGCTTGGTCATTGACAGCCGCTATCCAAATTCCAAGTGTACTCTCTTGTTCCTTTGGCTGGGGCAAGCGTTCTACAGGACATGTTGAACTGATGTTGCCTGGTTTGCTTGCGTGTGGTTGCATACCAAAAATGAACAAGGACCCGCTAAATACTGGAAAAAAAGCAATCATGCGTGCGCGAACTATGAATCAACCAATCAAACCAGTAGCCTTGATAAACGGATGCAACCAACAAGGCACCACCGCTTTTCAAGCGTGTTGGATGTGTTTCCATTCTTGTTTTTTTGTTTTTTAATTGTGGTGTTTTATGGTCCTGTGCATGTTCCTGGTGAATCTGTTGCCTCCATTGCTTTGCGCACATGTGTCCCCCAACATCCACTATTATACAGTAGATGGGATTTTCAAACTAACCACACATCTGTGCGAAGCACTTAGTACAACAGCTCTATCAAAATGTGTTGTGTTATATACATATCAGCTGCATACTCTTCGCAAAACCCAGTTTTTTTCGCACTCCGACTCTTCAAATCCATCCAAACCTCTCCTCCTCCTTCACCCAAGGAGCTCCAGCTGGGTGCCGCTGGCACCGGCGCCGAGCGACCGCTGGGCAGCGCAACGTGGATGGTCCAGCGCGGCTCCGCTGGCTCCGCTTCCATGGCCGTCGAGGGGGGTTGGTTGTTTTTTTCCCACGGGAGGGTCCACTCTCGAGTCAGTGGCAAGCACCACAGGCAAGCCACGAGTCACGCAGACTTCTGCGTTGGCAATGGCGCTGAAGCAGCGCGCATTGCCATGCAAAGCCTTTAATTACAGGCAATGGCTTTCATCCCTATGGTGCAATGCTTGAGGGAAACTTGGGAGCAGCTCTGAAACTCCTCTGAATATCTCTGTATAATTGTAAGCTAATGCTTGGCTGTGCACAGTGGTCCAGTGCAAAACTTGCAGCGAAGCAAGCAAAGTGCGCGCAAGGTTCAGTTATGAATTCCCTACTTCCCTAGAACCTGAGTGACGCCTGTTTGGAAACCACAAGCACTTATAACTTATGACTTGCAATCACTTATGCATAATACATACTGACTGATTCCTTTCAACACAGGTCAACTTGGGTCAACACAGTCAACACAGCATGCAAATAGGTCTATAACTTATGCCCACACCCCTTCGCTTAGTCAACATACCTCACAAACATCGAAACACCTCAAACACCTTATACCCTTCCACTCACTGACATGGAAGTTGGACCCTGTTTTTAGGACGGTTCTCCTTTACAAAGCAGGGTGGGCCATCCACTTCTTGGGCAGTGACACTTCCCCAACCATCCGACCTCTCTCCGGCACAGCCCGGCACCGGTCCGGTCATCGGCTCGAGGACCTCCGGAGTCTTGTTCGGCGAAAGAAAGGGGTGCGAAGAAATGGGCAACAGCATGTTGGGATGTTCTAAGCGTCTATAGAATGTAATATATATATATAAAAATGTTTATAGAGTTTATATAATAAGTTTAGAGTGGATCACTTTTTCTTGTGACTAACAAAGTTAAACATTAGCCTTCAGACATCATGTTCCTATCCCTTCACTTCCATGTCTGGAGTCCTAGCCGACCGTCTGCGCTCTCTGAAAGATTCCCGGAGCCTGGGACTGCCTGGTTCTTTTGGTGGCAAGGGGCTCAAACACCACCAGAACTCTTAAGAACATGTCTTATATATATTTTTTATGTATACAGTATACAGTACATGTGCTACATCATGTTGCATACATGTCGTTATATGTATATATCAACAGTACATGTGTTATATGATGTCGCATATATATATATATGTCGTGTGGATTCCTGTGGTGTTTGCAATGGTGAAGCATCTGCACGCTTGTATCCCAAACGGTGCAGGATTTTTACAAGAGGACCAGAAGTTCCATTAACATTATATAACAATCCTGCTATGCAAGTGTGCAACAAATGAACCCCCACGACACTATGCTACTCGGAGCGAAGCCGTTGTGAACTTGTGTCCGTGTGGTCACTTGGTTATTGGAGGGCTTCAATGTTTGAATGTTCCACAAGAATCCAAATGGAATGCCCAAAAGACCGCGAAGAGTATTGTATAATTGACATTTTGGGGTACATCAAGGAGTCGGAGTTGCTGAATGGCTATAGATGGATATGTGTGGTTCTTTGTGTCGGGACTTTGGCATGGCCGACTGATTTGGAACGTAGGAGAATGGAAGTTGAAAAGCGGTACGCCGGAGCCCCACTTCTGAAAAAACATCCTTAAACACACCAAAACCGTCTTTCCATTCCTCGAAGGTCAGCAGAAGAAAGTCGACATCCTCGATCGGCGCCTCTGGTTTCAACTCCAAGGCGGTCCTGCTGCTGGTTCCCACGCGACGCAGCGACCAAGCGACCGAACCCATCGGAGACCTGACCGACTATGTGAGACCTGACCGGTCCATCATCGGTCAGGTCTCCCATGTTGGCTCGCTGAAGAGGTCAGCGGTGGCAGAGGTCCGGTCCGTCGGTCCGAAAAAAAACAACAACAACGGTCGACCGGACGTTTGGTGATTGACTGAGCTGAGTTATGGAGATCACTTGATGGCATGGAATGAAACACACCCCAAATGATTAAATCTAAACATGTATATAAATGATTATATAATCCATTGGGACCCTGACAGCTTGGGATGTCGAGAGACTCGGGCCCATTACTGGGCTAGGCCGTCCGATCTCACCACGCCTGGCCAGGACACTCACGCGGACTTCTTCCAAGGCCTCACTGCGACCGAAAACCGCCGGAGGAAGGAGACATGCTTCATGGACGTTCATGGCTGCTGCAATCATGGAAGGAATTTACCCAAACTAACAGTCCGAAACTACTGAAGTGGTGCTCAAAATCTATTGCAAATATATAAACCTGTTCGATGCTTTGACCAAAATGGAAAAACCATGAAACACGCTGCCTCTTAGCGCCTCTTAGACACAAAGGATCCCAAGGAACATTGTGTGACTGGGGCCATGAACGCTAGCCTGAAGGCCAGACTACATACCATGATTTTTCAAGAAAGGCTTTCTGTCAGTTCTAGTGCTGGGAGCTCCAGACAGACCAAAGGAGATGAAGATTCTGCAAATGATCAAAGCCTACCGGATCAGCGCATCCGGATCCGTTGATCCGGAGGATGCCCAAAACCGAGATCGCGATTTTGTGAGATCGGACCGTTTCCTCCGAGGAGGAGCGGTGAGCCATTGGTTGGAAGCCATTGCAAACACAGCGAACAGCGAAGCACCAAACGCACGGCAACTTCACTGGAATCACATCGATTTCCAGGAGCAATCTTTAAAACACACCCGAAGGGGATTCACCTTTATAGGAACAAATGCAAACCATCCTAAGCCCTAAGCCAAACCAAGATATAAATAGAATAGAATATATAATTGCCTCACCTGTCGCCTGTCAGCAGCCTCACAGCCTCTGTGTCCTGTCTTGGTGTTCCACGCTGTTCCACTAACTCCTCTCCCGGCTCTTTCTTGGACCGCGGAACCATTGACACCGGTGGCTACTGTGCGAGGAAAAAGGCTCCAAGATGGCCAACCTATGGAACCTGCACGAGATCATGTGAGATGCCTCTGTCAATAACTTGCTTATGACCCTTCCAAAGCCAAACTAGGGACAACCTACCTACATCATCCTACATCTACCTACTATACATCTGGTGCCATTTGCTGACACGGTGCCTGGACGCTCAAAGCCTTTACTGGGCCAAAGCCTTTAAAATAGTGGAAGCTCAAATACGCTTGAATCCTCCCAACCCAGACCTGCACCGTTGAATCACCCCCGCTGCGGAAAAACGCTAAAACGCTCGTCCCGGCCATAGGCTTCCGTATGCCGACCAATGAGCTCCAAGCGCCGAAGCACCTGCGCTGATGGTCGCGACCATGGGATGGGATGGGTGATGTGGGTGGGCCCGCCCCCCAGTCGTTACAGTCACAGATGCCACACATGTTAAAACATCCATTGCTGGCATGCTGGCATGCATACTTACTTGAACACATATCATGACAGGAGAAAACACCATGTGTTTGGTTCTCTAATCACGCGAACCAACAGGTGTTGCTGGATTCTCGTCCCAGGGTCCTTCGGAGTGCAGGACTCTAGTATACTCTAGTTCTCAGCAGACTGACCTGGAGATGACTGTCTGCCACACAGGCTCATGATTCATCGATTGTTTCTTTCAAGCCGCTTGTGGCAAGCCGAAGGACACCGTGGCAATGGGCTTTTGGAACGATCGCCATTCGCACCATTTCTGCAAGCACATGGAGCCACCATGCTGCAGTCAATGTCTGAGTGAACCATCCAGTGACTCCACTTGGCCCATCGCTACTGGCAGGCAACATTGGGCGATCGCTGCTGGTCCATCGGTCCATTGGTCACATGGTGGAGGATTCTCTATCACAAGGAACCGGCCAGGGCAACATCGGAGCGAAAGGAACATGCATTTTTGGGCCGTTGATGTATAACGCCTCCCAGAACAGAGATGTACACATTGTAATGCTTCTGGTAGGGTGAATTGCTTGCTGAATCATTCAACCGTCGGTTGAATCCACATTCTAGCGGCGTCACTTGGACATATCTTCAAACCTGTGGATCGGCCTCTTTTTCGCACGGCGCACTGCGGACCGCGGACCCGGTCACAAGGGATTCCATGGGCTGCCGCGTTGAGGGCGGATCTCCAGGGACGTGGAGGGCGTCCAACGGCAAAATCCCAAAGGTTCACAGTGTATCTGGTTCCTGCATTTGAGGACCAACCAAGTTTGCAGCAGTGACAGATCACGAAAGGGGGTAAAATGAGGAAAGGAACTTCATTATGTGAGCTAGCACTAATATGATTGATAGCCCTCTGGCAGGAGCCGCCCTGACGCTGCAGACATCTGGAATCAAATGGCTATGTACCATGGCTCGGAGCATGCAAATTAGATTGACTTGGTGAATCATCGAGAGTCAGTTAAGGGGGGGTTGCTGTTGGCATACTTTTAAGTGTCATGAGGAGTCTCAGGGGTGCCAACGCCAGAGTGATATGTCTAGTATGTGTATATATTTATATGATTTTATATGCATATTAATATAAGTACAGGTGTATATATATATATACATATGTATGTACACATTGTGTAAATATATATAATAGTGTAATGTTTATATAACTGTATATATAATTACCAAGCTTCGATTGGCACCTTTGGGTCCATGACTTTCAATGCGCAAACGGCGTCCGTCTGCGGCTTCAAGAAACGCAAACTCTCAAAAATGACCGGCCCTGCAGGGTAGTTGCAGGGGATGGTGGAACATGTATATAATCACTTTGAATCCGTTTCCCCCACGATTCACGATCAATCTGCTTTTGTGAGGTCAACGAAGGTTCCCAAAGGTCGTCATAGCTCACCCCTTTCTTGAATCAGATCAGTTGAAAAAAATGGAAAAACACAAACAAGAGCCCCATTCCAATTAGGAGTTCAATTCATCGACACACAAATCGGCAAATCTATTTCTTTTTGCCCATCTTGGTGGGGCATGAAATGTTGCTTCAGAGAAGAGGTTCGGCCGTCTGGGAAGTTTAAATTTATCTGATTAGAAAACAGGACCAGCTGGGAGCAATTTGCAAACCTAGTGCCACAAATAATTCAATGCAAATAAAGAGGTCCTTCAGCATTGGATCTTGATATATCACAATCGATCTAAACACAGTTGTAGTTGTAGGCAACTCTTAGACTGTTTGATCAACCTGCGTG